ACTGCGAGCGAGAAAAAGTCGACGAAAAAGGTCAAAGTCTCGACGAAGTCGGCGAAGGTTGAATCTATGGGACCCGTTCCCATTTCCCAGAGACGCAAGATTAAGCAGTCTTATTATCCCATGTCCAAGACCGTAAAGTCGCTTGAGAAACTGGCAAATTGTGGGTTTACTGATGACGATGTTGCTGAGTTGACGGAACTGGGTGTTAACCCTTGGGATGCGAATGCCCAGGTCAGTCCTGTCTCGATTTCGCTGAAGACTGAGCTGTCGACTGACCATGACTTTTTTTACCTCTAGTCTATCTTGGTGCATCTCGATGACTACTAATCCGGGTCCCTAAAATATGCAAATATCTGCGAATATGCCAACATGTATGTACATCGTTTTGTATTTGACGAATTATGAGAAGTTAGATGCGGTACATAACAACTCAAAATTTCACTGTAAGCATAATTTCCGAGTGCACTCTGGTGCTACCAGTACTAATCAATCTAATCCGGGTTGTGGGAAAAAGAAAATATACCGAGGCGTACCTTTCCCATGGACGATGCCATAAAGTTGAAACATGAAATGAAATAAAACATTGAGAAAGCTGACACGCGACTCTACCTCTTTCGATGGATGGTTTCATTCAGTGTCAAACGAATGGTCATTTTTTCGGGTTATTCCATACACAAAGTTGAACGAGAGACAAAAGTGGGAGCGGGGGCCTTTTTTTCATTCCGAAAGGAGCGTACTTAGAAAAGCTGCATGGATATACTATATAACACATATTCAGACTAAGGAATTCAAAAGGGAGACCGGTTTGGAACAAAGTAGAAAGCAGAGAAGCAGAATAATAGAAATGAGGAAAAAAAAAAATAAGTACATGATACACACATACAAGGAATCATATGCGTTGGGCTTCCCTTCCTGCCTGACTACAACACTCCTCCTGTCCCAAGGGCTCCATTGGTTAAAAGGAGCTGTACAATTTCATTATTTTGCATGTACTCTGCTGCTTTGAGAGCATTTCCATATTCACCTCCCAGAGTATTGACATCAGCTCCATGGGTTAAAAGGAGCTCTACAATGGCTTCATTTCCCATGTATGCTGCTGCTTGGAGAGCATTGCCATAAAAGCCTCCCTGAGTATTCACATCTGCTCCATGTGTCAAAAGAAGATGGACAATAGCCTCATTGTCCACATATATTGCTGCTTGGAGAGCATTTTCATACTTGCCTCCTTGTGCATTAACATAAGCTCCATTGTCTAAAAGCAACTGGATAATGGCATTGTTGCTCTTGCAAACTGCTGTTTGGAGAGCTTGTCCATAATAGCCTCCTTGTGCATTCACATCTGCTCCCTTAGTCAGAAGGAGCTGGACAAGGTTTTTATTTCCATTGAACACTGCTGCTTGGAGAGCATTGCCATAATATCCTCCTTGAGCATTCACATCAGCTCCCTTGAGCAAAAGGGGCTGAATGATGGTATATCTGCTCAGGTAGATCACTGCTTGAAGAGCAGTTCCATACTCATGTCCTTGAGCATTTACATCAGCTCCTGTGTCCAGAAGTAACTGGACAATGTCATTATTTTCCTCATAAACTGCTGCTAGCAGGGCATTGCAATAGCAGCCTTGAGCATTCATGTCAGCTCCCTTGGTCAAAAGAAAATGAACAATGTGATTGTTGCCAAGACATATTGCTGCTTGGAGGGCATTTCCATATTCTCCTCCGGTTGCATTGATGTCAGCTTTATTGTCTACAAGGAGCTTGACAATAGTTTCATTTCCTGAATAAACTGCTGCTTGGAGAGCATTTCCATAATATCCTCCTTGGGCATTGATTTTTGCTCCTTTGCTTAAAAGAAGCTGGACAATGGTTTCATTCCCCTGAGATGCAGCTGCTTGGAGAGTATTTTCATAGAAGCCTCCTTCAGAATTTACATCAGCTCCCTGGGCCAAAAGGAGGTGAATAATGACCTCATTGCCCTTGAATGCTGCTGCTTGAAGAGCACTTCCATAATGCCCTCCCTGGGCATTCACGTCAGCCCCATTGGCCAAGAGGAAATGAACAAGGCCTTCATTGTGCTCAGAAATTGCTGTTTGAAGAGGCTGTCCATAATATCCACCCTGAGCATTCACATCTGCTCCCTTTCTGAGAAGCAGATAGACAATGGCATCATTGTGCATAGATATTGCTGTGTGAAGAACATGTCCATATTCACCTCCTTGAGCATTCACATTAGCTCCATTGGCCAAAAGGATTTCTACAAGATCTTCTTTGTCCATGGATATTGCTGTATGGAGGGCATATCCACACTCACCCCCTTGAGCATTCACATTGGGCAAGAGAAGCTGAACAAGATCTTTATTGCCCATGCATATTGCTGTATGGAGGGCAAAGCCATACTCCTCATTACATGAGTTTGTATTTGCTCTATTGTTCAAAAGAAGCTGGACAATGTTTTCATTTCCTCTGGATACTGCTGCCTGGAGAGCAGTTTCATCATGGCCTCCCTGAGCATTCACATCAGCTCCATTCATCAAAAGGAGCTGAGCAATGGCTTCATTTCCTTGGCATGCAGCTGCCTGGAGAGGATTTCCATAATAACCTCCCTGAGCATTCACATCAGCTCTATTTGTCAAAAGAAGCTGAGCAATGGCTTCATTTCCTTGGCATGCAGCTGCCTGGAGAGGATTTCCATAATAACCTCCCTGAGTATTCACATCAGCTCTATTTGTCAAAAGAAGCTGGACAATGGGTTCTTTTCCATTTGATGCAGCAGCCTGGAGAGCATTTCCATAATGGCCTCCCTGAGCATTCACATCAGCTCCATTCATCAAAAGAAGCTGGACAATGGCTTCATTTCCTTGGCATGCTGCTGCCTGGAGAGCATTTCCATAATAAACTTCCTGAGCATTCACATCAGCTCCATTCATCAAAAGAAGCTGGACAATGGGTTCTTTTCCATTTGATGCAGCAGCCTGGAGAGGATTTCCATAATAACCTCCCTGAGTATTCACATCAGCTCTATTTGTCAAAAGAAGCTGGACAATGGGTTCTTTTCCATTTGATGCAGCAGCCTGGAGAGCATTTCCATAATGGCCTCCCTGAGCATTCACATCAGCTCCATTCATCAAAAGAAGCTGGACAATGGCTTCATTTCCTTGGCATGCTGCTGCCTGGAGAGCATTTCCATAATAAACTTCCTGAGCATTCACATCAGCTCCATTCATCAAAAGAAGCTGGACAATGGGTTCTTTTCCATTTGATGCAGCAGCCTGGAGAGCATTTCCATAACGGCCTCCCTGAGCATTCACAACAGCTCCATTCATCAAAAGAAGCTGGACAATGGGTTCTTTTCCATTTGATGCAGCTGCCTGGAGAGCATTTCCATAACGGCCTCCCTGAGCATTCACAGCAGCTCCATTCATCAAAAGAAGCTGGACAATGGGTTCATTTCCATTTAATGCAGCTGCCTGGAGAGCATTTCCATAATGGCCTCCCCAAGCATTCACATCAGCTCTATTTGTCAAAAGAAGCTGGACAATGGCTTCATTTCCATTTGATGCAGCAGCCTGGAGAGCATTTCCATAATAACCTCCCTGAGCATTCACATCAACTCTATTTGTTAAAAGAAGCTGGACAATGGGTTCTTTTCCATTTGATGCAGCAGCCTGGAGAGAATTTCCATAATGGCCTCCCTGAGCATTCACATCAGCTCCATTCATCAAAAGAAGCTGGACAATGGCTTCATTTCCTTGGCATGCTGCTGCTTGGAGAGCATTTCCATAATGACCTCCCTTTGAATTGATATCACATTCACTATTCAAAATGAGGTCCTGGACATTTCTTATTAAACCACCTTCAGCAGCATAATACAGTGGGCTGACAATATCATCATTATATCTTCTTTCAATTATTCCTACCCAGGTTTCATAAGGTGCACTTTTTTTCAGAAAGTCTCTAGTAAGACTATCTAAATCTGTTTCAGGACCTGCTTCTTGAACAAGTTTTGCATGAGCCCTCCAATATTGTGCTGCATAATGATATGTTGGTGACTTATACTGCACCCATATATTGAGTTGCCTGAGATAGTTTCCACTGGTTGATTTCAAAAGATATATAATGCATACTTTAGCTAATGAGGCATGGGCTAACCTGGCATTGATTTCAAACAAGCCAGCTGTTTGGTGCAAATTACCATGCATAATTAGAAACTCCTTTACAGAAGTATGTGCCAATTGAACAATGCTATTGGTATCTACGGCCACAATATTGGAGTCAATGACCAGTTCCACTTTGAGGGCCATCTCATCACTTGGGTACAGTTCTTGCTGTGCTAAATCAACAGAAAAAAAATCGGAAACTTGCTTTGTGTTTAATGGTGTAAATGCAAATGTAAGCCACATAAGAAGATGATGGGCATCTGTGGCATATTCACTTTCCATAGCATTTTGTATGGCTTTCATATATGTTTCCTCCAAAGTCCTTGGTAGTTTATGCAATGCCTGCATGACTGCTCTGGAATTTCCACATTTTCTCAATGTTTTGACTTGACAGTCCACCCAGCGAAATCTTGGGGGTTGCACGTGTAAGATCTTCATTCATTCCCATAAATATAAACACTTACTGCCTCTCAGCCTTATCTTTCAATGTATTCAAAACTTGGTAACCCACCTCTCCTTTGAAATGGATCCTCTTTTGATCTTCTAAATATAGAGAAATATCATCTTCAATCCTGCAATCATCACTGTCTAGTGCAATCCTCAAGAAAGCAGCTGCATTGCCTGTGAATAACAAAGAATGACCAAGCTGGGGATTGAACCCAGGCCCCTGCCAAACCGGGTGCAGTGCTCTAACCACTGAGCTACTTGACCATATTCAATGGATGTGGATTCATTTCCAACAGTCCCCCTGAAGCCACCATCCATCATGGAAGCAGTGTGACTCATCAGGACCCACATGCTTAGTCATCTCGCTATTCTGACTGCGAATCTGTGAATAACAAAGAATGACCAAGCTGGGGATTGAACCCAGGCCCCTGCCAAACCGGGTGCAGTGCTCTAACCACTGAGCTACTTGACCATATTCAATGGATGTGGATTCATTTCCAACATTGCCCTCTGGTGAATATCTACTAGTTATAACAATGGATATTTTTTCTAAGATGTTTGCCAGCCAGTCCATGACATGAGATCTTTCTTCCCAATTGCATTCATCCATTGCATCCAGCACAATGCATCCTGAGCTCAACTGCTGAATAATTGTACTCAGAGCATCTTCTAACTCTGAATTGCTAGGTTGAGCAACATGCAGACCTCTGTTACACTGACTGTACAAGTCTTGCAATACAGGATGAATTCCTTGCAAATTTGAGCCCATTTGTTGCAGCATACTTAAGAGAAATCCTTGATATCCAGATTTGTCTCCTGTGTTATCACGGAAATCAAAATAGTGAATCCAAACAGTACTTGAGGTGGCCCGTAAATGATCAATAATTGTTGTTCTAGAAATTGTTTTAGCCTTGAACAGTTTCTGATAGAGCATTATACTGACGATATCACTGTTTTTCCTGATCCAGCTGAAAGATTATCATTGTAACTTGAGATTTATTGGATATTTAGAATAGGTCAGCTCAACTCACCTTTGCCTTGAATCCACAGGAGCCCACCTGTATTCTTCCATTCAATGTATTTTGGGTGCTTAGTGATCCACATTCCAGTCCCCTTCATTTTCTTGTTCTTAGCTGTGTTGAAATTGATTATACAATCTGGTGCTTTGAGCCAATCTCTGATTTTTTGTAATGTATTGTCTGTTGCTAAGTAAATCAAGGTGAGATGGTAAATTCAATAAGCCTTATGAGAAAATAGCGCACATTGAATGGTAATATCATTTGCATTAATGAAGTTGCCACCATGGATCTGGAAGTTTGAAGAATTCTCAAATTGCCTTTGGACACAAAAGTATTATCAAAGTGGCCTTTAGAAAGTAATATAATATAACATAACAACCATGTTACCTACCTGCCACCATCATGAATAATGTCTCCTTGCTCTCTGCTTTAATTAGTACAGGTGGCATACATTTATGAAAATGCCAACATACCGCTTCCCTAGATGAAAATATTCACTCATGATAAAGATGAACGGGAGAAATCAAAAGATGGCAGGGTTTATATACCAAATACTGTTTACTAATGTTTATACCTGATGACCATCGAAGTGGTTGATGTCACCCCCATTCAGAAGCCCATTCAGTAGGTCACGGATGGCAACCAATGCTCAGACCAACATAGGCGCCATCTTTCATCCTAGGAACCGATTTAAATTAAAATGTTTATATCTCTCGAATCATTTTCCAGCGCCAAAACCTCGTTCTGTACAGCTAGCGCATTTTCATATACTTCAAAACATAAAATAGACAAGAGACAAAAAGTCCATAGCGAAAAGAGCGTACTTAAAGTATATAATATATTGCCAGACCAAGGAAGGGAAACCGACTTGTAACGAAGTTGAAAGCGCGAATGACTCAAACATGCAAGTTAACCAATGTCTCCATCTTAAATTCAGGCCTATCTGATTTTTGAGTAACAGCCAACTTCCCTCTGAGCTCTCCTTCAGGAACTGAAACTGCACCTCTAATTCATGCTCATTGTGTTCCAAAAATGTAAATACATTAATTTGGGCTGTCTCCAACGCCCGATGATGATGTAGGTCCAAGGCGCTTTCAAGAGCACGGTGATGTCCACCTCGCAGGTTCTCTCTGGAACTGTGGATAGCATTCTGATCACCTATGAGAGATTCCATGCAGACTGCCACTTTCAGATGTTGTAGGTTTGGAAGAGTTGAGACTAAGTTTAGTACCATAACCACTTGGTAAGCTCTGTGAAATCAGTTATCATTGCACAAAGAAGGACATAGTTTGACTTACAAATAGTCTTGAAACATTGACATCTAGCGCACATTGAAAACAAGTGAGGACACACCTCGGTGATCATATGAAGAGCGTAATGCCGACAGCGGCATTACTACGCACTGATTCGAGTCCCATGTCGTAGATGCATAATCGGCGTAGTGTTGTCAATATTGTCGCTTCCTTTAGCCATGAGAAAACATCAAGGTCTCCAAACGTTTTGCAAAGTGTGAGACTCTCAATAGGATGTGAACCTGATGAACAGAGAGGTGCACATTCATCTACCCAGCCGATAAGCCATGAAAGCTTTGGTAACAGTTCTGCATCGCAGTGTGTTGGAAATAGTTCTCCGTCGTATTCCAGATGTTCAATATCAAGGTGTCGTAGAAAGAAGGCGTTATACACGGTGTCATCCGCGGACAAGTCGCTGATGAAAACCTGCTTCAAAAGAGGAAAATGAACGTTGGGTTATTAAAAACCTGACGAAAAGGTTGTTTATCCGATTTCGACATTGAAGCGCTTCCGAAATATATGCGAAGTCGTGTAATATTCGAGCTCGATTTTTGGACTTTCCAAAGGATTTTAGCTATGGCGGAAGGTGTAGCTAAGAAGAAAAATAGATTTGAATAATGGTGGGCGCACGAGAAAACCAAACATGGAACTCACGAGCATTTCCCTCACTGTCAGCCAAATCCAATTCAAAACTGGTCAATGACGAGCTGCATAATGCTTCGAGACCTTCGCATCGATACTCGAGCGATTTTATTGAGGCGCCATAGAAGATAACATTTTTGATGGTAGCTGATACCAGTTTCAGGAATGTGGTTGGATTAGTAGGAGCCAGCGCGATTGGTCGCAGTTTATTTGGCTTCTCATCCTTTGAGTAAACCCGAAGAGCAGAAATATGGGTGAGACGCGAAGGGTTTATATACGGATACTCAAACACCATCGATTTGACAAGCGTGGCGGGATGAGGGGCAGTGAGTGGATGTCGAGCCTTATCCGTCAACGCAAGCGTGGACAGCGTCAAGGTATCAGTTTTTTCGTAGAGAATGGGATTGAATGCCTCATAAGCACGTCTGGAGACTCGAGTAAGGGCGCAGAAGGTGCTAACATCATCGGGGATATGCTGAGCAATTAGATGGTATAGTTCGAGAGGCAACGCGTTGAATCCAAAGTCATTCGGATTCATTAACTGTAAATGCGGTCTGTTAAACGCAGCCTAGATTATTAAAATTATACGAATATCATACTTTCAAGAGTAGAGCGTTATGTTCAAACTTCAGATGGTGTTGGCGATGGGTACGATGAGTTTGACGCCCACCGTGGGATGACAAGAGCGCGTCTTGTAGACTTGTAGACCTCATGTCAGTCTACATGTCCCAGCGTTCAATAGGCAAATTTATCATCGTAGAATATCGGTACTTATCATCCTCCAACTATCCTCTACTATTTACCACACAAGCATGAGCAAGTTCCCTCACTGCACTAAAAGTCGCTGTAGCTCAGCTGTACCAGCAGTTCAGACGACTAGCTGGTGAAAACTTGAAAATGAGGTTGTCGATACGCGCTCACAAAGCAGACTTAGCTTGGACCCATCTCCAATTCTCAGAAAAGTCTCTCCTGTTGGTCCCAGGCGATATCATTAAACAACGCCTCCGGGACATATGCATACCGTTGCGGAGGTGAAATTGAGTATGATTTGGATAACGTCGCGATGGGGAGAGGGTCGTGGACTTGGGGATGGCAGCTTAAGCTGAGTGTACGCTGGCGGTTTATCATTCACTGGCACTCACGTTTATAAAGTTCCTTTATCTCATAGGCAAACTTGGCGTCATCTCTCTTGAGGCCTGCATTGAAATCTGCATTGCCTAGCCCATCTTCATTCTCAATTTTGCCTACTACTTTTCCGTGACTACATGATATTTGTTGGTTATCATATCGGGTGCAGTGGAAAATGAGTATTCACCTAACAACCGCAACATATCGCAAAGTTTGGTCTGGGGCTGATACGTAGAACCTTTGGAAACAGTAAGAATGCAGCACTAATAGTAGATTATAGCCTACCACATCCGTTGCACATTCCCTGATATTAGATATTTGCGGAATTCATGATTTTTAGTGCGAGCGACGATGTTACATATGTGCGGTTTCCTGATAGAGATTATAATGTCTGTTTTCTTTGTGGCGCTACTTTTGGAACTGCTGGCGGATCGTTTCGAGGTCTTTTTGGGAGTCGGGGGCATGGAGGAGAGGAAAACGCGTATGTACTCATGGTCGACACGATCACATGCAAGATCTTATCTAAGATTAGATCTGATTCCATCAATCAGAAGCTCGTTCTTCACGTCTAGCTTCTTCACCTCAAATGTACCTCTTCAGTTCTCCGCTCTAAGTCCTGGGGAAGTTACGGTACTCCAAAAGGAACGTGTCTGCTCCTGAAGCGCGCATTGAATTCGGCTATAGAACTTGGATCGGCGAACCCCATCAACTTGACTAGCACTTTGACGGCTCAGTTCCCCAAAGTTTCTCCATGACGGCCATGTTGCGCTTTTTCGAGGTAGGTTGATGATTTTTCCTTCCGAAAATAGATAGAAATGTTGTTAATTTTTCTTTTTCAGCTATCCAAAGACGCTTCACCGTATCAGAATGCAGATATATTGCCTTTACCACCTTCTCGAAGGACTTGGACAGTCAAAATCTTTGTCTTTTTCTGGCTATCGACTGGTTTGTCTACTTGACTCGTAACCAATCTAAGCCTGATGGGTCCCCCAGCAATCAACATCGCAGAATGGTCGGGGGCTAGTACAAGCCGTAAATATCATATACGTTTTGGATGATAGTTGGCAACTGGATTGACGTTATTATTGCTTAGTGGCTATTGGCTTAACGGTTGGACAATCTATCGCTGGTGAGTTCGCACCTTTGATGAGACAAAAACCAATACTAATTGAGATCCATTAAAGTGAACGCGATCAGTACCATAATGCACGCCCTATCTCACACTATTCATTACTTGTTCTTGACGTTCCACTCAAATCTATAGTATCACCCTTGCGCTTGTCATTAGCGGTCAAGGAGGAGGCAAATGGCACATTCCATTTGTTCGTACCCTTTCTAATTTGTAACTTTCGTCTTATGGGTCTGTTTACAGGCCGTACTAAATCGCACAG